TATCGCAGCGTTCGTTCGTCCGTTACAAGTCCGTTACAACAGTGCCGTGGTACGGATGTGAGATCATTCTCATCTGCCACCTGTTCCAACAAGTACGATGTGCTGACATTGTCGGATAGATGTAAAAACCATCCGCACCAGCTCGCTGTGAAGGCATATTGGAGGTGGCATATCCAGCAGGTCGCTAACGACAAGCAAAATGGTCGGACGCCTTCAAGTGGGACCAGTTTTTCTTGACGGATGATTCGCGTGACTTGCTGTGTGGCGATCGACAGTTTTACAGACTCGTCATGATACTGATTTACGAAGCCCATGTTCGACCGACGTCTTCAACGATCAGAAATATTATAACACCCCCAAACTGGTTGTAAATATCAGCGCCGGCTTTAAGGTCCCAGCCACCTCAGGATGCTGATGAACTACTGGCTTTACCCTTTTTGAAACCCGTGACTATGCCAGTCGGTCTTCGACTTTAACATGATCCCCAGTTGTTGATCAGTTGTTCATCGTTTGTAGTTATATAGAGTTGCCATGGTTAGAAATGTTCACGGGTTGATAAACCAGGTGGGGATGAAAATGATCTTGCTGCTCTACTGCTGAAATATGAACCTCTCCAGTGCAACTAACAATGGATACCTGTGTCTTCTGCCGCCGAACTTGTCAACTGGCTTTGCGTGCCTGTTGATACTGGAACTCTGTCTTGCAGTCAGCAACACTAGCACAATCCCATCTTGTGATTGGCTTATGTTCACCGGCCTCCTTTGGTGCTGTGAGCTCATGAAGGAAGTCACATCTCACAGCAGACGGTATCTCTAGCAACTGTCGCCGCCGTATGGGCGACATGTCCGTCCTTCCTCAGCTATGCACCAGTTGGGGGTGCCGGAGGCGTGACGGTCACGTGCCACTGGATCACGTTCTGTTTCCGTGGGCTTATTTTATTACGTATTGCACAATGTCGTCACTGGGTACACTCAGGCACCGGGGAACGTAAGCAGACAACTGAGACCTAACAATGCCGGCTCCATGGATACATCCCGTAGCGATTCCGATTAAGAACAAATTAAGCACTGCTACCCCTCTACTGCCTGTCAAACCTGTGTCAGTGATGGCGTCACTCCAATGCCCCTTCGAATTGCGACCAGGCTTGATCGCAACGGATGGGGCTGTTTTTTGCTTTACTTTAGCATCTTAAACGCCCTACCTTTCACTTGCTTTCCCTTAATGCCGCATCAGGGGCTTCGTCTATGACAAACAAGCGTAATGGGAGCATGCTGGGAAGCACAACCCGAAGCAACTTAATGTGGAGGCAGCAGTACCTGACAGGAAAACAAGAAATTGCTGGACACACAAAAAGCTGCACATTTTATGAACGGTCGTGTGAAAATCACTTAAAAGGACCCTATCATGTCAACATCAGCAGATTAAAGAGATATGCTGTGGTATTATAGTGAGCACTTCTGGTTAACTGCGTCAAGTATGTTAACGACCGCTCGTCAAAATTACGTCAATTGTTCAGTGTATTAGCGAGGAACATTATTGACATAGATAAGACAGTAGCATTAGACTTGCTGCTCGGAAAAACCAGGAGAATGAAGAAATAGTTTAGTTCATATTTCAGCAACATGCCTTTATCGAAGCAAAAGCAGAAATGAATTCAAAATTGCCTACCGACGATCCTACTCGATTTTTCAGGTTATTTTTTGAAACAGCAAACCACAGTTTTTACAGGACACCAACGTTGAGAAGATTGAACAAAGAGCGATTGCCAGCCATTACCAAGATACAGTGCCTATCTAAGAGTTAAAATGCGCGGGTATACGTGTACATGCAAACAAATTCAAGCAAATATACATCACACATCACGCTTCATTCAAACATGCAAGCGAGTTGAAGTAAAAAGGCATCACACATCACGCATCAATTACACATGCAAACGACTTCAATCGAGCAGGCATCTCACATCACGCGTCAGACATCTCTTACACATGTAAACGAGTTTAAGCTAGCACATATCACACGTAGAGGCCTATATCACGTTCGCATAATTGGCCATGATGACCTCTGCTTGTTAAAATTTGGTTGCCGACTTCTTATAACAATAGATTCACTTATATTTCCTGTCTGTGGGGTCCTGTTCTTTAGCAATTTATATGGAGTCATCTACATCTAACTTGACAAAATCTACACTGAATCACTAGCAATCGCTCTTTGTTTAATATCCTGCATCCAGGTGTCGTGCAAAAACTGTGGCTTGTTGTTTCAAACAAAATAATCTGAAAAACCGAGTAGGATCATCGGCAGGCAATTTTGAATTCACTTCTGCTTTGCCGCTGCCGCTGACAGCGTAATTCGGACTAGAAAATGATTCAAATTGACATCCTTATTATGTCTTGACTGTGCTTCAGTGGCACTACCCAGCATTATTATCAGACATGATAAGTGCTGAGGTTTTCCTAGAGTATGTTATTGAAAAACTCCCCAAGGACGTGATACCTCCTTTAACAAAAACGGAAACGGAAAATGCGACTTCCATGCGTCAGCATGATATTGCTGGTGAAAGAAAACAACACTTACATTCGACAACATTCAAGTACTGTTACCTTCCAGGTCATTTCTGTGTACAATCGACCGTCCAAACCATAACATGCTACTATTAAACAGAGCAAGGTGTGCAGACTAATCAAGGTAATTGGTTGTGAAGCAGCGCAAAACGCTTGGAGATGACCCAATTAATTTCATTGTAACGACATGTCATTTCCACTGTTTCTGCCTATGACTTAACATATACATCAGGTACAGAAATGTTTGTATTTTGTATGACAACGGAGATCGCAACGAGGTTTTCTCATCGTGCGACCAACTCATGAGCGATTATTTCCGCAAAGATCACACCGCACAAAATCCCTCAGCCGGACAGATCGAAAGCTCGCACAGGAGATCCTTTTTAATATCGGTGGGCGTATCCATAATGAGACGGGTACGAGTTGTAGTTAGAGCGGCTGACGGCTCCATACGGATGATGGGCATAGGCGCCGTAGTTATAGCCGAGAGAACGTCCGTAGCGTCCGCGGCTGGATCCGTGTCCTCCGTGGCTGTGGCTTGAGCCGTGTCCCCCGTGGCTGCGGCTTAATCCGTGGCCGTAGTTGTAGCCGAGAGAACGCCCATAGCGCCCGTAGCTGGATCCGTGTCCTCCGTGGCTGTGGCTTGATCCGTGTCCCCCATGGCTGCGGCCGGATCCGTGGCCGTAGCTGTATCCCAGAGAACGTCCGTAACGCTTAGGGCCGTGTCCGTTTCCTCCGTGGCCGCTATGGCCATAGCCGCCATGGCTACCATGGCTACGGCCATGTGAGGCAGAGACAACGACCACCAGGGCGGCGAGCAGAACCAGCTGAAGACGGAAACACGCAATGCTCGTTAGCACAGACTTGTCAGAGTGAATTTGAAACGGATCGTCAGCTAGATGTCAGTTTATCAAGCTTTTAGCGTTGCTCTAAACTGCGCATGGAGAACTTCATAACAAATAAGCCAGCAAAACTGATGGTGAAATTAATTTTGCACCCATGATGCAGCTAACCTGCAACAGACCAGGAAGAAGTTTCCATAGTGCATATAGCGGATGATTGCAATAAGGAATAGAGCAGGCACTTAAGTCACGATATTCTTTGAACTTTGGAAAGTGAGGTTGCATGCTAATTCACAGTCTCTACCGTCGACACCTTACCACCAGCTTGGCGTTCATCTTGGCTCTGGAAGGGTGTCCGGCTGTGGGAGCAGTGGTGCCAACTGAGAGCAGCCGGCCGCTTATAAGGCGGAGGGCTGACCTCGCTTCAACCTCGCATCGCTGCCGCTCCTGGCCGTGGCTGCTCAGGCATAACATGCACTTGGAACCGTGCTCTGGCCTTCGGCAGCAGCACACGTGCAGCGTTGCCTCTCCCGATCTACGTAGCTCAAAACTCGCTGGACGATATCACAGCGCAATGAGAGCGCCGTAATAATCACAGGTAAAATCGTCTCAGACATTTTGCCACCGGCGTCACGGCAGACCGAACAGCTGGCTGGGCTTTCAGTTGGACTTACAGACTGGTTGGAAGACTGGTTACAGAGTGCGACTAATCTCATGGACCAGGGGTTCGTTTAATGAAAGTTCTCATTCAATCTGTCCATCCAGGGGTCCCACGGTCAACTGGGTGTCCGTCAAAAAACTGCGTAAAAAAGACATATTGTCCAACAAAATCAAGTTCTTTAGGTAAACGAACTACTACCTACAACCAATAATCACCATCCCATCCCCCTGTCCTGCAAGTGCTTGCCTTACCTTACCATACCTTATGGTGATCGGGAATTATAAAAGGCCACTAGGCCTGTAGGTCACGGTGTCGTCAGGCTCCCGGTCCGGTAACCGAACAGTCTCAAATTATGGATAGCTTTAGTGTGGGACGCCATACATGATGTCAGCCAAGTGCCTATCAAGCCTAGACTTGAACTGGTCAGCTGATGTTGACAGCACGAGCGGGTATGGAAGAGCGCTCCAGTTGTTGACAACCCGCGTGCTGAACGAGTTACGACGGACGAAAGTCCTAGCTCGAGGTTTTCTGAGCTTCCACTGGTGCCCTCTTGTCACCTCCGAGTTGTGCTTGGTCAGGAACTCCTATTCCTAACACCGACATACCTCCGTAAAACAGCTGGTACACTGTTACTTGGTCCAGTTTGCCGAACAGGACCAAGATGACGTTGCCACACTCTAAGTACGGACAAACTAAGATCTTATAGAGCAACGGCAACGTGCAAGAATCGATGTTGGCAAAAGACCGTCTCACGACCCGCCAGCATCTGGTTGGCCTTGGATATCACTTCCGCTGTCTGAAGATCCCAAGGTCCTTTTCGGTGGACTTGGCTGCGATTTCAGCGCCGTCCAAGAAGTAGGTCAGCCTCGGGCTCCAGTTCCCGATGTGCATTATTTTGCATTTTGCTGCACTAAAGGGGAGCATCCACTCTTTTGATCACTTGGCCAGGGCGTCGGGGTCAACCTGCAGAGGTGAGATAGTCAGGGGCTTCGGGACACGACAGTAGACCTTGGCGTCATCCGCGAGCATCTTGGCCACGCTTCGCGCTTGTTGCACTTCGCACTTCGCACAGATCGCTCACGAAAATTATGGACAGCGTTGGTCAAAGCACTGATCTTTGCGGGATGCCGCTGACGACGTCAGTCCAGTCCGACCTTGAGCCCTGGACTGCACTCTCTGCACTCTCTACTTGCGTTGCTGAATTCCCTCAGTGTAATTGAAAGGACAGAAAGAAATGAAGATGGGCAAGAAACGTGCATCACAAAGTATCTTGGAATGTCCGCAATTAACAAGTCGCATTAGGCAAAATGGGTGAAAGATACTACTATTAAACAAAACTATATATAAACTACTCGCGCCACCTTGCGGCATCACGTTAATCGCGATCTATGCAAACATTCGTGAAAAAACAGTGCATTGACCAATCTGGATCTAGCGATTGACATTCATGTGCATTGTTGTTCAGATATTTCATTGACATTTGAATCAGCGCAATCAGTCATCATTATCATAGCTGTAGAATAACGACTACATACACGAGGTTTAGCGGAAATCACTCGAGGATAACTGAATGATTTTAGTTGAGCTCAGCAATCGCAGAGCTTAACGAGTAGAGTAGATTAGATTGCTGTAAACTGTCATCATATCAGCTGACAATTGACATCATACCACTAAACAGTCATCATATCGAGTTAAAAATATATTGCACTGCATTGTCGGACAGTCAACGTCGGCTTTCAGTTCGGCACCCCGGACACGTACAATTGGTTTGGTCCACTTCCTGATCATACTGAGAGTTCGTGCGGTTCTTTCCATGTGAACCGCTGGAAGATGGCCACGTATGTCCTCAGGATATGCGCATAGATTCATTGGTCGCAACAATATCGTTATTAATAATAGAATATATTGAATAAAAATAAATAACATCGGCGCAGTGACGTTTATATTCTACTGTCGGTGTATACGTTTGAACGGAAATTCTGGCTCTCTTTGTTTACATGAAATATTAATTGATTCTGGATGACGCTTAGACACTGATTGCTATAAATTCGAAGAAAATGCGTTTTCATATTTACCTGACGTGGTTTGATGGTCCGATTCGGCGCTAGGCTGCCACGTTTCGGACAGAGCGCCGGAGGCCAGAAGGTAGAGCAGCTGCTAGTTGGTGCTCAGTTGCTGAATCAAGTCGACTGGCAGGTCTGGCACACGCCCCGAAATAGGCTTGAATGTCACAACGTCCCTCTCCCAGACCTCTCCGGCGCAAGTCTTACCGAAGGGTCCAAAAAAATCGATCCCGTGGTCGTGCCGTCCAAAAGCGGCAGCAGATGGAGGAGGTTCAGCTCGTTGCCATGCAACTAGCAGATGAACCAGCGTACGGGTGACTCGGCGGCCAGCTCAAACAGCCGGAACACGTCGCCTATCGTCTCGGTGTTGGATGCCGTGCCATCGCAGCAGAGCACATTGATGTGACCGTCGCACCGCGGGCGCACGGAGCGTAGCTCGTTGGGTAAGTGCAGAACGCGCCCGAACTTGGACGTCAAATGAGTCCGTAACGGCTGTCTGGCTCAGCGATGACAACCACCTGTTTTTTTGTTGTTTTTTTTTTTGACGGCATTCGCCCTGCTCCGTGTGACTCATGAAGCTCCTGCCTTCGCGGGCCGTCGGAGTAGAGGATGGTCAAACCTGACTCGTGGATTACTCCAGCAATTTGACGAGCCGTCTCCTTTCTCGCTCTGTCTCCTGCGCAGCATATCTTCTTAGTATCTATGATATTTGATTTTAAGTAGCCAGTCCGTCTCTGCTGTCTTGTTGAAAGGCACTGATGATAGCAGCAGCGGCCGGTTCGAGCCACCGTAGCGGTCAACCGCTTGAGCGGTGTCAGTCAGATCGTTAACGTTGCATTCTACAGTGACGGTGGCTTCAACAGGAACGAACAATCGGCGTCGTCGCCGCCTTCTACCATGTTCGGAGCCATATAGGAATCCGTGCTCTCGGCTGAGTCGCCAGCGCTGACACTTGGTCCCAGAGCAGGTTTGGGTTCAGCACTAGCAGCCAGCGCTGGCTCAGCAGGCGGCGCTGGCTCAGCAGTCGGCGCTGGCCCAGCAGGTGGCGCTGGCTCAGCAGCCAGCGCTGGCTCAGCAGGCGGCGCTGGCTCAGCAGTCGGTGGGGAAGGCGACTCAGGCTCAGCAGCGGACACTGCCTCACTGGCGGCCGAGTCATGACGCTCCTGGAGTTGTCTGGCCATCCTCCGCACCTCGCGAGCCTCCCTATTCACAGTCGTGTTCCGGTCATATGACCCAAGGGTAAGCTTCTGGTGCAACCTTCAATGCAACCTCCTCTTGATACACTGTGCAGTCAATGGGCATGGAAAGCTGTACTGAGACTTGCACTTGCATTTCACGATATCGGGAAGCTTGTTGAATTTCGCGGTGACGGCGCTGCTTCGTTATTTTTGTTTTCTTTGATTTCTTGCTGAGAGCTCTGTTGGGATGATGTCAATCCCTCTCGATCAATTTTGTCACGTATTTTAGATGATTTCAGGGAACGCTACGTTGGTCCACAGTTCTCTGATGTTATGGTTAGTGGCCCAAAAAATAACTGTCGAGATTAGCTTGAGACGCGAAATCCAGTGTATTCAAGCTAGTCAGCTGATATGATGACAGCTTTCAACAATCTTATCTGATCTACTCGTTAAGCTCTGCGATTGCTGAGCTTAACTAAAAATCACTAGATCCAGATTGGTCAATGTCCTGTTTTTTCACGAATGTTTGCATAGATCGTGATTAACGTGATGACTTTAGGTGGCGCGAGAGTACGCATATTGCCCGAGCTTAAGAAGCATAATTTTGAGAAGCAAGTGATGGCATGCTCGACTGTAATTAACTACAAAATGCTCAATATAATACCACACCATAATTCTTCCACCTGTGTATTTTGAGATAACCGCGTGATTTTGGGTGAATTTTAAATAACTTTGAATGAACTGTGTCACTAGGTGGGATTTTGTCCATTTTGTCGCCGTTTCCGGTACTGCAGACTCCACCTTGAGGTCATTTTTAGGTCAAAATTATAATCCAGTTGCGCGGTTCTTTCACAGTCGAAGCACCGAATAAGAGAGGAAAGATGTTAAGTAAAAGGTAGCGCATAGAGATTCTAACGTAACATTAAAAACGTTCCCATCCGTGTCCCTGCGACGACCGGGCCAGGGCCTGGTCGTCGTGCGGAACAACGATGAGCAGGCTCCACAACAGGCAACAGTTGGGGAGGAGAGGGGGGGGGGGGGGCGTATTAGAGCTTAAAGGGAGTGCTCCACATGTGTACGGGGTTTTGAACTAAAATAGCCATCTTGAAGATTTTCTGGTGCTGTTCACAATCCTGCCCTTCTTGTGACTTAGGCTCCCCTAGTTCCTGAGCTATACGGCAGCGAAAATTGGGATAGGGATATCGGGGAAGTATTTCAAAGTCACCTTGGCGTTCATGACGTCATAGAAGCGTCATCCAAGCCCTGCCATTTTATAAGCCAAGCGATGATCAAAGCCAAAGCTAGTAAAGTAAAGTCAAAGTATAGTTGTCGAGGCGTTCATATCTGGTGTTCGTGAACGCAGTTTCCAGAGAACACGGCCGTCAATTGGCTTTCAATTAATGCTGTGCAAAGAAAGAAGACGTAATCAAACCGTGGCGTATTGAGTAGCGCTTTTTCTAGAGAATTGTGCCGTCTAGGTCAATCTGATCCACCTAAGGACTTCCACCAATAGTTACAAGTGAGCTTGTTTCATCATATCTGATGCTTACTTTAATACCTTTAAATGTGAAACATTTTCTGTAAGGTGAGCCCAATGATCAATATTATCAACGCTCGCCACCCGTCATCATAAGCCCCTGACAATTGAACAGCCGGCCGTGGTTTGTAGTCGTTACAAAAATTATGTCCACGGCCGGGATTCGTACGCCAACCCTCCTGACTGTGGGACTGCATACGTTCTTTGTTGTGCCGCCAACGTGTCAACAGTAGTCGCCCATCAGCTGCGCCCCGTAAACGGGGTGAAAGGCACCGCGGGCGAGCCCAGGCCCGCCGGCGGGTGGACGGCCTGCATGTGGGTAAGCTGCTGGGCAGGCCATGACAACACGGCCGGTGTTCCCTCGGAAAACACGAGGTCGACAAAAGAATGGTCTTGTGATGAACGGAGTCATGTCATACCCCAGCCTACGCACGACTACGGTCTCACGTCCACACGTGGGTTCGGCAAGTTCCTGCTCTTATCCGTTCGCCGCGCCGCCCGACTCTGCCACTTGCAGGCGGGCCACGAGCGCCGGACGCCCTCGCGCCGGACGCCCTCGTCCGTCCACACCGTACGGCGCTGTCCTGTGCGGGCGGATCGTGAGTGCCCATGTCGCGCTCGCGCACCCTCTGGTGCTGCCCTCTGTCGCAAGTGCCGATGCCGGCCGGCAGATGGCGTCTGTTCCCTTCCGAGCTGGACAAGACCCGGCCGGCGTCCCGCGAGCGCCCTTCGCTGGTCTCGCAGGTACGTGAACGGTGTTTTGAAATGTAGAGGGCTTGGCGCGCCTCATTGCGATGCCGCAGCAACCTATGGCGGGACACATCCGGAGATCCGGTCTGCTTCGGAAAGTTCGACAGATCTCCCCCTTCCCCTGCACCATACCTTCCGTGTCCGTTGCGAGTTCCTCCATGATGAGGGGATCTTTGTCAACCAAGCATGGCCGCCGTGCGAAGATCAATCAGGGAATCGAGCTGGACAAGACAACACAAAACACAAAATGCTAAAAATGTCTTGAGACGGAAGAGGTCCCCTCACTACCCGGCTACAGCACCCGTCTGGCTACGAGCTGCCGATTCCCGGCTGCAAGCTACCGACTTCCCGGCTGCGAGCTGCCGATTCCCCCGGCAGTCAGCTGCCGACTCCCCGGCTGCAAGCTGCCGACCTCCCGGATGCAAGCTGCCGACT